ACAAAGCACTCAGTTATTATAGAAAATTAGTAGAATATAACGAACCACTTGAGGTGTCCAGAACAAGCTAGTCCCATTCAAACTAGGGATGTATTTGGATGGCTAACCCATCGTGACTTGCAAGAAAGAAAATCTAATATAAACTACTAAAGCATCAGAAATATTAGACTTTCTGTCAATATATCAATATCTAAAGCATAGATTCCAGGGAGGATAACAATCACAATGAATCAATTTAGCTATAAATTATGGTGAGCCAATTTCAAACTGTTGGCCTAGTGCAATGTGATTTAACTCCACTCCCTTGGAAGAGCAAAGGAAGCAAAAAAAATGCAAATTTGTTTCACTTTTAGGCAGGAGGAAGGGAATGTAGGAAGGTTTCACTAGCTTAGATGACATGAATGAGGTGTTGGATTCGGATTATAATCCACTGCATTTGTGACACTTTGATAAGTAAAGGCTTCATGATCTTATCCGACAAAAAGGATAGGTTCCATGGCAGGCACAGAAGCACAAAGCTTGAGAATGTGCATAAGTGTGCCGCATGAGGCTATGATTAACCAATATATTTTTATGATTTTTGAAAATCGAAGAAATTAATGTTTTGAAATCAAATTCCAGAGTGAGGTCAAAGTGTCAAAATAATGATAAAGTTTCAGATATACCAAATTTTGACAATATTCTCATGGATACTATCGCAGTTCTCAAACAAGCATGATTGCCTTACCAGCAGGACACAAAACCTTAGGTGCAAGATATACCAAATCAAAGTCCAAAGCAATCACAAGCACTTAAGTTTCTTGCCACCGCAATATTCCATGATTCCAAATACAATGTAGCAAATATCAAAATGTGAAACACAATACAGTCTCAATTTAATAACTAATCTGATCCAGCATGTGATTCACATTCCTTTACTCACCTCAGCTAACAAATTTTCGGCTCATATTGGTCCAAGGTGAACTTTACTACTGAATCATCAAAGACAACTAACTTAGTTAACTAGCATGAAGGAAAATCCTCAGGTACTTACTACTTAGTGAACTTGTATTACTAACTCGTTTAAGTGTTGAACTTAAGATGTCAAGGAAAATCACCTGTGGAGTGGATAAGATCTCAGCATCATGCTTCCTGAGCTTAGGATGCAGCAGCACGAAGTATATCTTCCAGAAGCAGCCCTCGCTCATGTGGCTGGGGCAGAGCTCGATCCTCAGATCAGCCAGCTCGGGCGCCAAGCTTTCCACGGCCAGGGCGTGATCTTGCTGTGCATCTGTCATGTCAAAATCTGCACTTCAAGTCAACAATGCAACTGACAATTAGTTCATCTCAACCGACACCGATGAAGAAGAGCCTCTGGGGGAGGCAAGAAAGGATAGCACGAAGCCACGAACCATCGGAGTCAGCGTCGTCGGGGAGGAGGGGGAAATCGAGCCACAGCTCGGGCCACGAGGCCGCATCCCGCGTGAATGCGACCACCTCTTCGGTGACCCCCGCTGCCGCCTCCGCCCAGTCCGCGTCGCCCTCAGGCGGCAGCAGCGTCGTGGGTGGGCGTGGTGGGAGGCGGTGGGGCCGGATCCGGAGGGGAGGGGAGGCGCGGCGGCCGGATCTGCGGAAATCCGGGAGGGAGGGAGGGAGGGAGGCGGCGGGGCCGGATCCGGAGGGGAGGGGTGGCGTGGCGGCCGGATCCGGGGAGAGAGAGGGGGCGGCGCGGTGACCAGATCCGGGGAGAGAGAGGGGGCGGCGGGGAAGGAGAGGGAGGGGCCGGCCGGATCCGGGAAGAGACAGGGGGCGGTGGGGAAGGAGAGGGAGGGGCTGGCCGCCGGGGAAGAGAGGGCGGCGCCAGGGAAGGAGAGGGAGGGGCCGGCCGCCGGTGGGGCACAGGGAGGAGCGCGGTGGGATCCGGGGAGGGAGCGAGCTGGGGCGAGAGGGAGTCGAGGGTGGGAACGGGAGGGGATTTTTTATGCGGCGTGTTTTTTTTTCATGTTTGCCGAGTGTTTCTTTTTGACACTCGGTAAACCGTCTCTTTGCTGAGTGTTTCTTTTTGACACTCGGCAAACCCCCCTCTTTGCCGAGTGTTTTTTTGACACTCGGTAAACCCCCTATTTTGCCGAGGGTTTTTGTTTTGCCGAGTGTTTTTAGCACAGCACTCGGCAAAGAATTTGTTTGCCGAGTGCCCGAGGGAATGCACTCAACAAAAGCTCGACCAGTGGAGAGATATGTATTAGCTTTTGTCTCAACTGTCAACAATATTTTTGTCGGTCAAGTAAAATAAAACATTGAGAAGGTTTAAGAAACAACTAACAACAAATGTCAAATGCCATCTGATTTAATAGGAACAAGAAATATTGTGAAATGAACAACCCCCTTTCAAATATATACATTGGCATCCAAATCACATTAACACAGCATCTAATATTGGTACGACGAGATGCTGATCTGCTGCGTGTGTATACACTTGTGGCGAGCCTTTGCAAAAACTACTATCATACGGGGAACGGGAGCTTTGCCGTGTGCCGTAGGCACACGGCAAAGCCACTAAAACACTTGGTAAAGGGCACACGGTAAAAATTCTATCGGCGAACTCACTTTGCCGCCTTTGCCGAGTGTTTTTTGTCGGGCACTCGGCAAAGACTTTGCCAAGTGCCCAAAAAACACTCGGCAAACAATTTTTCAGAAAAAAAAAACAAGCCGCCGTCTTCTCCTCGCCGTGCCGCCACCACGTCGCACCACCACCACGCCACGCCACCACGCCCAGGCCACCACCATGTCGAGGCCGGATACGGCCTCCCCATGCGCCACCGTCGCCAGATTCGTCCGCCCGCACCGGGGCCGGATCCGGCCTCCCCGTGCGCCAGCGTCGCCGGATCTGCCCGCGCCGGGGCCAGATCTGGTGGAGGCGGTGGAGGAGCGCCGCCGGTACATCCGCCACCGGGAAAGGGAGAGGTAGGGGGAGTGCCGCCATGCCGAGAGAGGAAGGGGGGAGGGCGCCACCACCAGGAAAGGGAGGGGGAGGGCGCCGCCGTGCTGGGAGAGGGAGAGGGCAGGTCACCGCCGCGCCGGGAGAGGGAGGGGGCAGGGCGCCGCTGCACCGGAAGAGGGAGGCGGGAGGGCACCGGCGCGCAGGGAGGAGAGGAGGGCCAAGCGCCAGATCCGTCCGCCCACGCCGAGGCCGGATCCGCCTCCCCGTGTGCCACCGTCGCCGGATCCGCCCGCGTCGGGGCCGGATCTGGTGGAGGCGGTGGAGGAGCACCGCCGATAGATCCACCGCTCGCACAAGGAGAGGGAGGGAGGTGTGCCGCCATGCGCGGGAGAGGCAGGGGGAGCGCCGCCATGCCGAGAGAGGAAGGGGGGAGGGCGCCACCGCCAAGAAAGGGAGGGGAGGCGCCCGCCTACCGGGAGGAGAGGGTAGGGCACCGCCACCGCGGGAGAGGGAGGGGCAGGGTGCCGCCAGTGCGGAAGAGGGAGGGGGAGGCGCCGCCACTGCCAGGAGAGGAGGAGCCGTCGTGGCGTGCTCGGGAGAGGAGGACTGCGGTGCACTCGAGAGAGGACCGCCGCCACCACGCACGGAGAGGGAGGAGGGGAGGGCGGGCCCAAGGGGGCGGCCGCGGGGGAAGAACAAGGGGGAGGGGAGGGGCGCCTGCCGGGGAATTAAATACGATTTCGTCCTTTGCCGAGTGTCCTAGATTTGGGCACTCGGCAAAGTTTTTTTTTCATTTTTTTTCTTGTCGTTCTTTCACAGAAAAAAGATTTTATTTCTTTGCCGAGTGTAAAAAAGAAAACACTCGGCAAACCCCCTCTTTGCCGAGTGTTTTTTTCGACACTCGGCAAACCTCCTCTTTGCCAAGTGTTTTTTTTTGCCGAGTGTTTTTAGTGCAGCACTCGGCAAAGAACTTGTTCGCCGAGTGCCCGAGGGAATACACTCGGCAAACATAAAAACACTCGGCAAATTTGACGTTTCCGGTAGTGTATAAGTGATGGATGGACGGCCAGAGATGGGTTCAACCTCCACTGGATGCCGCCTTCACCTCATATATTTATGGGCAGGCATACCACAGGTAGCTGCTGTTGGTATTGGAAAGCTAGGTTACGCCTCAAACACGCTAATCCTTCTATATAAGCAGGATAGTCTTCCAACAAGCCACTAGCTTAGCTTCATCAGAATAATTAACAGCTAGTCTTCCAACATGAGAAAGGGCATCTTTGTAATCTCACGTGCCCTGAGTCTGAGTTTCCCAAATATATACATTGGCATCCAAGTCACATTAACACGGCATCTAATAGTGGTACTACTAGCAGATCATAGTAACTTGATGACGATCTGTATATTCACTTGTGGCCAGCCGTTGCAAAAAAACTACTATAATTGGGCACATGTTCAGCCACAGTTGATGACGATCTGTATATTCACTTGGGGCACCATCACTTCACCAACTGTTCGAGTGAAGTCACTTTTTGCATTATCAGTTCTGCGGTGACATTTAGCGATGCAAGTAAAATAATTAAAATTAGTCATATTAAAAAATTGAACAAATGTTGGGATGTAGCTCAATTAGTAGAGCGTGAAAATACGCATGATTCAAGGTACGGGGTTCAACTCCTTGCATCTCCAATTTTTCTTTAGTTACTCATTTTTTTCTCTCAGAATGCATTAGGATTCCGGGTGTTTTTTTAGTTCTGGAGATTTTTTTATTTACTCCATTTTTTTCTTAGAATGTATTAGGAATTAGGATTCCGGTTGTTTTTTTTTTCTGGAGATGGCATAAGGTTTGATTTACTCTTAGTAGGAGTGAGCTTATTAATAAGCAACTAGCTTAGCTTCATCAGAATCATTAACAGCTAGCTAGTCTTCCAACATGAGAGAGGGCATCTTTATTGTAACCTCACGTGCCTGGTTCCTTCTGTATAAGCAGGCTAGGCGTCGAATCATTTGCAAGCACACAAGTCTATCGTACACAAGCAGCAAGCACACTGCGTGCAACACCACACCAACACCAAGCGTGATGGCCGGCGGCTCCAGGAGCAGGAGGCCAGCTGCTGCCCTCTCCCTCCTCCTCCTAGTGCTGGTGGCGCTCATCACTGCCGGCAAGGCGAGCGCGGCCACGTTCCAGGTCACCAACCTCTGCCCCCTCACGGTGTGGCCAGCAGCCATCCCGGCGGGGGGCGGCACACAGCTGGAGCCCGGCCAGACGTGGCTCTTCAAGGTGCCGGCGGGGACGGCTGGCAGGGTCTGGGGCCGCACTGCCTGCCGCTTCGCCCCCAGTGGCCATGGGTGGTGCGCTTCCGGAGACTGCGCAGGCGCCCTGCGCTGCCAGCTCTCCGGCAAGCCCCCGGCGACGCTGGCCGAGTTCACCATCGGCGGCGCGGCAGACTTCTATGACCTCTCGGTGGTCGACGGCTTCAACCTGCCCATAGACTTCAGGTGCGACGGCGAGGTCCACACGATCCGGTGCAGGAACCCCGGCTGCCCCTACGCCAACCACCACCCCGGCGAGGGCAAGGTCCGGAGGTGCAAGGCCGACAGCGACTACCACGTCGTCTTCTGCCCAAAGTGACTTGTTGTCAGTATCTATCTACCGCTCCAATTGATTCGGCGCATAAAATAAAATAAATCCGATCGAGTGAACACTGTAATCACGTCCATGCATGTTATGTTAGCCTACGTGATCACCGGCACAGCTGAGTTGATCACTCACCAGTCTTGTCAAGTACCCGCTAGTGTTGTCGAGCACCCACTAGCTAAGCCGACCACGAACAAGCGTTGTCTGTCCCCACACACTATGGCTAGAGGTTGAAGAAGAGAGAGAACAGAGTATACACACATAGTACAAGACACCAGTGTTGGCCGAAGCCCTGTATGGGAGATGGCAAATCTGAACTCTCTTTACTGAGTTGTCGTGTATGTCTATTTATACAACTCTATCCATCTAGTCCTAGTACAGCGCACATACTGTAACAGTAACTAGATAACACAGCATGACTGACTCTGCGCCGGTCTCTGCATGTGGCTACAGTGCTGCAGGTAAGCCGTTCGGCGCCTATACCTGCAGCGGCTACAGTATCACAGTAGGGAGCCTTTTCGGCGCCGCCTTCCCCTGTGTTCACATAAGGAACCAGTAGATTATTTTAACATGTTAATCCTGAATATTATTGATGTTTGTCAGTATCTATCTACAGCCTGCATTAATTTGTTAAATTCAGAAAATATCGCATATATATCACCTCCTTAATAATCTCCTTAACAAATGAAAAACACTGTGACTTGTCAGAGTGATCACGTCCATGCATGTCAAGGAGTCTGTATGCTATTGAGTGCACTAATAATTTGTTAAATTCAAAAGAAATCGCATATATGTATGATCAGAGACATAGGAGACAAATAAACAGAAGAGCACAACCTGCAACGCGCATCAGAAGGCGCAACTACTCTGGTTAATTCTTCAGTTCTAGATGGCCAAATGCATGTTTGGTTCAGTCATGTCTGTCAGTTGCACAAAATGTTTGATGAAAGCCGTATTCAGAAGCAAACTTTTCTTATTTTTTATTATGATAAGTGCCAGTACAAAAATAACAATAATAATTATATTGAAAAACAAACTAAAATTGGGGGTGTAGCTCAATTGGTAGAGCGCTAAGCTTTGCATAGTTAGAGGTACGGGGTTCAACTCCTCGCATCTCCAATTTATTCTTTTGTAACTTACTATATTACTATATTCCTCCCAATTAGATGACTTTTTTTTACTTTTTGTTCAAAAAATTGTATACACCTTCATCGGCAAACACGCACATTATCCCGTATTATGGGTTCTACAAGCAGCAAACTATATACTCCCGTGTCTGCCAAATACATAAATTTCTATCCAAATCTCACTTTATTAACATGGTAGGAACCATCTAATAATCATTATATGATGAATATTCGAAGTAAGATTGACATCTTATAATCCCAACTATGGCAAAACATCTGTGCTGTCCTCAGGTCAGAAATTGGGATAAGAACAGGTGACGATAATAGTAGGCCGCCCATACTCACATGACAAAACTTGGCTTATGTATAGAATTATAATGGGAAAGTTCAACCTGTCAAACAATTACTTGGCTTACATTGCTCGAAGGTGTGGTGATCTTGTCGATTCTGAAAGTTAGAGAATGTAAGGTTTTTGGTTTTTGAGTGTAGGGAGTTTTCAGACTCGGTGACAAGTTCAAGTGGTCAAATGGACCTCACTCTTTATTTGTGTCAACATGAGTTAAGTATATACAAAAAAACTGTATACACCTTCATTGAAGCAACCTTATAGACGAAGTTTTCGCCATTATTGGTTGAACAAGCAGCAACTGTATGCTCCTCTATGCTTGTCTGCCAAATATATACATTGGCATCGATATCGAAGTCTCATTAAAACGGCATCCAATACTGGTACTATTAGATCATAGTAACTTGATGGCGATCTGTGTATACACTTGTGGTTAGCCTTTGCAAAAACTACTATAAGTGATGGATGCATGGGCTCATCTTCAGCCACTGGGGCCAGCTTCACTTCACCTCATATATGGGCTGGCTAGGTGCTGCCAAACTTGGTGGAAAGCACCTTCAATTCACCAACAGAAGCTGAGTGAGCTTATTAAACAACTAGCTTGGCTTCATAATAATTGTTAGCAGTTAGTCTTTTGTAAAATTCAAGGACCATGCATGAGTGAAATTTACTCTTGCTTTTAACTAAAAAGGACGATGACTCAAAACCACCATTACATTGTTGTAACGTGTAGTGATTTTGTCGGTTTTGAAAGTTAGAGATTTTTTTGTTTTTGAGTGTAGGGAGTTTTCAGACTCGACGACAAGTTCAAGGGGTGAAATGGACTTCACTCAATATACAAAACAAAAGGAATACACCTTCACCCAAGCAATAGCCGAAGCTTTCTAGTTTATTGGTTGAACAAGCAGCAACTGCACGCTCCTGTATGCATGTCTGCCAAATATATACAATGGCATCCAAGTCTCATTAACACGGCATCTTCTGGCGATCTGTGTAAGCACTTGTGGCGAGCGGTTGCAAAAACTACTATAAGTGAAAGTGATGGATGGGTTCACCTACAGCCACTAGGGCCACCTCCACTTCACCTGATATATTGGCAGGCTAGCTGCTACCTTGGTATTGGAAAGCACCTTCAATTCAGGTGATCGAGTAGCAGATCTATTTACAAAACCACTGGCAGTACAACATCTGAAGAATTTCGAACAATCTTAACCCAGTGCAGTTATGTTTGAGAGGAGGTGTTAGACAATATGTAAGAGCATCTCCAAGAGTTCCCAAAATCTCCCAATCTGGATTTTTAGCAAAATTGGAAAAAAATCCATCTCCAACAAGTCGCAATCTTTTGGCACAGGGAAAAACCGAGCTGTCTGCGCGGAAAGATACGCGCGCAGTCACGTCCGCGTATCCGCCTCGCGTCCTGGGGATCCAGCGAGACACCGAACTGCTCCAGTACCGACTGCACGCTCCTCGCCGCAGGATTGTCGCCGGCGTCCGGATCGGACACACCGCTACACGCCACACATGCTCCGACATCAATGGCGAAGCTAGAGCAAATTAAAAGGGGGTGTACTTAACTTGTGGGTGCATATACATCTTCCATGGGGGTGCATATATGGTGAGATTTTAGACCTAATCACTGTTAGGGGGTGCATATATGGGGAGCATGCCAACTTCGACATGGAGCCCTCAATAAATCAAACCTTATGCCATCCATAACTGAAAAAGAACACCTAGAGTTTGTGCACTGAGAGAGAAAAAGAAGTAAAATAAATAAATTGCAGATGCACTAAGAGAAACAGAGAGAAGTAAAATAAATAACATTGGAGATGCAAGGAGTTGACCCCTATGCCTTTAACCATGCATATATTAATGCTCTACCAATTGAACTACATCCCCTGCTTTGATTTAAGTTTTCATTATAATTAATTTTAGTTGTTACTTGCACTGATAAGTGTCGCCATATAATCGTTAATGCCAAAAAAATTATAGCACAGCCACGCAAGGGATGGCCAACAATTTATTCAACTGAAATAAACGGAGTATCAATCAAATTTTTTTTATTCCTCTCAACACAAGTTAAATATATACAGAACAAAAGGTTGACGCCTTCACCGAAGCAAATTGTTGGTGAGACACCATGCAGAGATGCTCTCACGCAACAAAACTATAGTGTTCATTGAAAGAAACAAAGTTCATCAAGTTTTGACAATGGTTGGACTTGGACAATTCAAACACGTACTTTCCATGTAGACCAGCTGCAGCTCAACAGAGGCCACTTGATCTGTTCCATTGTCGATTATTATGACCTGTAAGCGACTTATTTAATCATTGGTAGCAAAAGGACGTTTTTGTACCAGTGAAATTAAAGCCTTGCATTCGTAAGCACTACACTTGTTCCATTGTCCATTATTATGGTCTATTGGTCGAATGAAAAATTATGTTAAAAACCGAATAAGACTTGGGATGTAGCTCAACTTGTAGAGTGTTAATATAAGCATGATATGATTAAAGGTACAGGGTTCAAGTACCAACGTGGGTGAATAAACGTGTGGCGTGACAAGGTGAGGATGGTGCAGGGGTGGGGCGAGGGATAGGGTGGACAAGGATGGTGTAATAATACAAGTTTAGAGAGCCAAGAGTGTAATTTGCCGGACGTCGATGAGAGACCTCAGAACAAGTTTAGGGACCCGAGTGTGCAAGTTTAGGGTGCCAAGTGGTGTGTGTGCAATTTGCATGTACATGGGCTGTGATGAGAACTCGGAACAAGTGTAAGGAGCAAAATGTGCAATTTACATGTATATACAGTGACTAGGATGAGAACTTGGGACAAATTCAAGGCCTGTTAGTGAAATTTACTCTTCTTTTTAACTAAAAGGATGACATGAAAATCAGCCTTATAATATCGGCACTGCTAGCGCCCGGATGACTAGATAGACAATCGCATCTGAACACCCTCGGCTACAGTCGGTTTACCCTCCGTTTAGCGCGTCCACGTGTGGGCCATGTCACCCAGACTTCGCTTGACCGCGCCCATGCAGGGGCCCACACCGCACGAACGTCGCCCGCGCAGGGACTGCTCACACCTCCTCCCGCTTCCCATGCACATCTCATGTGCAACACCCGATCTACTTTTAAAATATTCAGATGCAATATTTACAACATATAAAAAAGACAGATGAAACACTTGAAACAGACATCTGAAACACTTGCAAAAAACAATTGAAAATCATTGCAAACAAACGCAAACATCTAGATAAAATACTTGCAACAATATCCAGATAAACACACATGCAACATACATCTGAAAAAAGACAGATGAAACATTGGGGACATACGCTTACAACGTACATGTAGAACCATTGCAACATATGCAACATTCTGATCTATTTTTGCAATATTCGTGTGAAACAATTGAAACATACCTCTAAAGCATATGAAACATTTCAAATGTACACTTGCAGCATTTACCATATCCTGGTGCGGCCTCCTCCACCTTCTGCATCGGGGCGCCGCAGTCGTAG